AATATCATAGAAAAGATCAAAAAAAAAATTTTATAATGAAAATTAATTATCTAATAAATTTTTGTTAAATTTATGTTTTCAAGTCATATTGCGGGTTAACTGGATCTTATTTTGACGACCAAGAAATTCTGAATGCTTCTGTATTGGAAACAGATGAAACTGAAGCAGAAATCCATGTCAAAGTAACTCCTAGTTGGGATAAATGGATATGGCCTTCTGGCATTTCAGGGAAAGAAGCTCTCCATAAAGCCAGTTCTGAAGCAGAGCATTCACTAATGTTAGTCTAATTTAAACATTAGAGATATTTTTATATTTTCTTTTGTAAATACTTAAAAACTTTTAATTTTAGGCCAGAAAAATTTAATACAATAAGATGCGGAGGAGGAATTGCATGCCCAAAATGGATTTCGGAAGATGACTACAAAATGATACAATCAATTTGGACACCTTTTGTATCATGTCTTGATGAAGAAGCACAGGAATTTTTAACAAAAATAATTTTAAATGAAGTAAGTTTTTTTTAAGTGGTTTAATTAATTTGTTATTTTATTTACATTTGTGATCTATAAGCAGCAAACCAAAGTCGAGATACGGACAACAATTTATTCTCCCCCAATTGTATTAAAAACGATGAAATCTGATAAACTCATTTTTTTTTCTCGGGTGATCAATCAATTGTGAGCATTTGTATATTAAACATACAAAAAATTTTTTTTCAGACACAACTAGAGTGGTGAACAACTAATGAGAATTTTTCTACTTGTTCATTGCAGTAACGAACTTGTATTTCCTCCCAATTCAGTAATGTCGGGTGGAGATGCTTCTGAGGCCAGTTATGGTGGTTTTATCATCCACCCGACATTAATGTGGCTATTAGAAGGCTTAGAATCTCATGTTAAATATTTACCGTAAGTTGTCAATCCTGTATAAATATATGTATTATGTTTTCTCTGTATGATTGATTTTTCTCTACATTGACTGGTTTTTTTGCCTTTACAGTGGGGAAATAGCATTGGATTGTATAGACTCGTGCAGGTTACGATACAAACAATCGGATGTTTCACAACTCTGTGATGGGGTATTTAAAGTTGATAATCTAGAGCTTGCGCATTTAGAAATGAGTGGCGGGCATGGTTTGATTGATAAACCCCGCTCAACATGGGATCATGTAAAAGGATTCGTTGGTTGTTTGTATATGTTAGATGAATTAGCAAATAAATTTACAAATGGAAATCCTGTTCTTTTCTGTTCGATTAAAGTATTTTTTTTACATACACTTGGTAAGTGTTGGCTAGTTATTATTATTATTATTTTGACATTTTACATTAATTAACATAATATATTTATCTATAAAGAGGATCGTATGGAGCTATGGTCAATGATGATGGTTTCAGCCGAAGTTTTCTTATTTGAACGTATAAAAAAAGTCACCGTTCCAGTATTATTTGATGATCGTGACAAATTATGTGATTATTTAGATTTGTTGTGGACATTCAAAGTAAGTAAATTATTTCATAAATGCTTGTGCTGATTGAAATAAAAATATTATACTGATGTATTGCATAATACAATTTAATATGTATCAATTCTTTATCACAGATTAAACTAGAAGAAACTACTAAAATAATCAATAAACTTCGGTCAGACCATATTTCCAATAGGTTCAACCCATCTAAAAATCTGACAGATTTAATACCAATCCAACCGCATATACCACAAAAAGACAAAGACAGAAAAGGCGTTGGAGCCATAAGACCGACTAGCTTACCACATGGCACTAAAAGACCATTTATATAATTTATTCATATTGAACAAACATTTTATTTTAAAAATTAAATTCTATTTTCATATTTATATACTGCTTTTAAATCAAGAAATAATAAGAAAATAATATTAGAATTAAGATGATGTAATTACTCTTTTGATAATTAACTAATTAATATATATAAAAGAAAGAAATTTTATTGTGTCATGGTTCCTTACCAAATTATTGTAATTCTTGTGTGTGTGTGTGTGGGTTTCGACATCTCGCGTAACGTTTTTCTTTTTTTTTTTCTGTTTTTCCCGATTTTGGAAAATGTTTGTTCCACGGGAAATGTTCTGTTGTGAATGTTATATTCGTTTAACATTGAGACTGAGATTGAGATTGAGACTCAATTGATATTAAGTGCAGATACGTAACGAATCCGATTCTTCTAAACATTTTGTTTCTCAACTTTAGTAAACCGAATTTTTGGGGAAGGATGAGATCAAAATCAAAGGGCGAAACTTTGTGGCTTGAAATGATTTCCAAATTGAAATTTGAACAGAAATATTTTCGTTTTCTAAAAATGACGAATGGTTATTTTTATCATCGCTGTGTCATGCGAATCCCGTTTTGCTATATATCTATTTATCATGTTTCGTGAAACCGAAAATTTTTGTTAAAAATGTCAGGGTTGAGCGAAGCAGATACTTGACTGGAATGGAAGGAAATCGTGTTTCGCTTTAGATATTTTTTTTGCGTAATGACTACCGTTGTCTACCGATAGGTTTCCGTCTTTCTCCGACGTTTCAAACCGTTCAAAATGACCAAAACTGATGGCCTTGTCTTGGAGCCTTTACCTCAGATCGTCAATGACTTGTCGCACAACGTGAGAGTGGTACTAATGTTAACATATTTTCTGGTCACGAGACCTAATTCAAAGCATCTTTTTACTATTACGTTTTATTTTGTTGTCATTACTATTATTTGTTATTATCGGTCAATTCAATGATCGATAAATAAAACAATATGTACAAATTTTTTTGATTGTGCTTAATTAAAAAAAAAATTATTTGATTTCGACCATTTGAGGAATAGTGGATGATCTGAATTCATTTTTTATTTCCTTTCCGGAGAAATTTTTTTTTTTGAATAATTAATCTTTGCAGATGATCTTTCTTTTCTTTTTTTAATCAAGAAAAAAAAAAAGTATTGTTGACTTTTTAAACAATCAGTTTGTTTGCATGAAGCTTGAAAAAAATTTTTTTATCGATCCAATTGACCTTTAATCTGGGGCGAATAAATAAACACGAGAACATAAGATTTTTAATTAAGAAAAAGAAAGCTTGGTTGGTTTTTTTTTAATAATCGAAATTTGTAAATAACTTTTAATGTTCTTCTTTGCAAAGGATTTTTTTTTTAATTAAGAGAAAAAAAGCTTAGTTGATTTTTTAACAATTGAAATACATAAATAACTTTGCAAAGGATTTTTTTTTAAATTAAGGCTTAATTGATTTTTTTAACAAAGGATTTTTTTTATTTTTAACAATCGATTTTGATTTGTCGATCAACAATTGCGTGTACCTGGACGGTCTCTCCTGCATGTTATTATTTATTATATGTAAATGTTTGAATCATGTGTTTTTATTATTATGATGCTATGAAACACTCGGCGCAGCGGTAATTTTATTTTTTTGACTGACCATTTTGTATAACGTTGTATAACGATAAATGATTTCATGGTTTGAATGTGCTCACCATCTGTAAACTTGAATTTTATCTTGATTGCTTGAAGATGGACAGGGACGTCGTAGAAAGTTGAGTTCCGTGTGCTGAAATGGCCCGAGAGGAATTTCTCTACGAAAAAAAACGAAAAAAATGTGAAGATGGCCGTCTTATTTATGTGTTTTGAATTTAATAAAATATACTATTGTCTTGGCCTGAGTGATGTTATTTTTTTGCTTTTTGCGACGAAGGAGACGCAATTCAAACCCAACTTAAAATAAATGGATTTTTTATTATCGCGTAGCAAAAGCTCCCATTGAGTTCTCGGTTGTAAGCTTTGACAATAAATAAATAAATAAATAAATTTTTTGCTCGACGCAACGATTAAAAATAATAACAACAATAAAGTTGGCTAATTTTAATACTCCGAACGAATATATGATTGAGTCGTGTGATGTCAAAGAATATCATCATGCTATAATGCTAATTTGTATTCCACGGAACTCACTGTTACATCTCAGTTTAAAAAGCTTGTTAATATTAAATCTCAATTTATCTATATAGGAGAGAATGCACAATTTTCTTTTTCCAAAGATTAATGGTTAAATCAGAAGGAATTGTTATGTGACTATATTTAGTGGTGTATGACCCGCGACCATATTTTATTTATTATTAATTATTTATTTTTTGATATATTGCACAAAATTTGTATAATAAAAATAAATAAAAATAAAAATTTATATCAATTTGTAACTTTAATGTTGTATATGTGCATATAAATTTTTCAGTCGAAAAACCCCAAAATTGTAATTACAAAATAAAATTTACACATAGTAATAGTAAAAGAACCAAGTATTAAAGAAACATTTTTTTGAATCGCCTGCTACCATTAATATGCTGACTAGTAAATTATTTAATTGGGTCAGGTCTATAACAGTCAAGAATTTAAAAGTTTATTGTTACATTGGTTGACTGGCAATTGGACTTGACTAAACAATAACAAAAGCCGTGCACACATTTAAAAATCAATTGCACACGAAACATAATAAAAACATACTTTGTAGCTTAGGTTTATCAAATTATATGTGCAAAATTTCATTTCCACAACGTTTTTATTTGAACTGATAATCAAACAAACAAAATTTCTTCATCATCAAAATTGTCCATCAGTCTGAAAACGCAAACAATAATAATTAATAAATAAATTAATAATATACATGTATATATGAACTCAATATTTTGTTGGCCATCCATTATTTTCAATTACTGCTTCAACTCTCCTTAGTATACTCTCAGTCAATTTAATTAGGACATCATTTCTTAATTTAGAACC